CAGCCTCACCGCAGCGCTGCCTGGGAGCGAGGGCAGCCAGCCCCTGGCGACGCTATTGCTGAGGTGGCCCCGAGTCCCACCAGCCAAACCCCAGGAAAGGGGGTGCTTGCAGTGCCCTTACAGCAGTGTGTTAGCCTGCCTTTGCTTTTCCATGCAAGCATTCACACAGTTGGTATAGGTGGGTGGCCCAGGGAAAAGGAAGAAAATGCAGGTTGCTGGTACAAACTGTAAATTATGGCAGCACAACATAGAAAATCTCCTAACCATAGCTAACTTGGACGATTACAGAGGTAGTTATGGGGTGTTAGAAGGAAAGTTTAGTGTCATGATCCAGATTTCTTTTATTTGGCATGTTAAGATGATTTCTTTTTTTTTTTTTTTAAATGACCTGTACCTCATTTTAACAGTGTGTACCTCACATATGGTTTTGATCTTCCGATTCAGCATCTTTTAAAATTTATTTTGTACAACGTAGGATAAAAATCCAAATGTTTGAAATGTGTTTCATTTAAACCAGTTTAAGAAACTGACCGAAATCTTCTATGAGTCTAAATTTTGTCTTCTAGTTCCTGATTCTGCACCAGAAAACATAACCTACAGGAATATCTCATCCATGGAAATTGAATTATCATTTTTTCCACCATCCATTCCCAATGGAGTCATACAGACATACACAATATACCTCAAATGGATTAATGGAACTGAGCAAAGAGTCATAAACACCACTCTTCTGACACTACGTATTACAGGCTAGTATATAATGACCTGGAACTTATGGCAACTGTAAACTGTTCTGAGAAGGGACCGACGCATATCAATTAATTCATTGATTGGACATGATCCTTTTTGTCCTTATATAAAGTTAATTGCTGCCTGCCCTGAGACCTGTTGTGTCCTGCCATAATGTGGTGGAATGGGCCACAGACGGTTTAGAGTCTAACATATAACTCCTCGTATTTTAGATGTTTAAAGTACAGGGAACTTCAGCAGATTTTTTTGCATATCTGTCCTTGTAACAAACTAAACACTCATGTCTCCTACATATCTTTCTGATCTGACTCTGGATAAAAAGAAATGCTTCTCTTTCCACTCACCCTTGCATCTTTTACTCTTCTGTCATTATTACTGAGGCATGACAGCAGCTAGCACTGGGAGCTTAACCAGTAAGTTTTCAGAGTACAGTCAAGGACAAACTGTAAAGCATTCTAGGAATATGAAGTATAAACTGGTAATTAGGGATTTACCCCTTTTGTTCATGCAGAACACTTTGCGTTCAAGTTTTCCTAATGCTTATTTTGGTCTTTAAAGACAGAGGTCAGTGTAAGCAGTGGGCCTATTCAGTATTTCAAAACTACTTATTGTTCATTAAAAATCTAATTTGGCCTACTTAATGGTGGTTTTATTGAACTCTTCTTCTTTATTTAGACTTGAAGAAATACACAGAATATGCTGTGGAAGTGTCTGCTAGTACCACAGCGGGGGAGGGCCCTCCTAGCACACCTCTGCGTATACTGACTGATGAAGATGGTGAGTCTGAACAGAAGCTGCAATGTATCATTATCTGGCTGTAATCTTAAACTCATTTTGCACTTCTTGTTGGATACGTTTAGGTTTTGTGTGCATTTTTTACAATTGTATCTCTGTTGATATCTGTATCTTATCTACTTACAAACATAATTACCTGTTGATTGATCTAGCTAGCTATCTGTTGCTTAATCTATTTATCAGCACATGTTATATGAAAAATCGTGATTGCTGTGCATGAACATTTGGTCTTAACAAATTCTTATGAATTTGAAGAATCTTAACTTACTAATATTATTTTAATCCACTATGCCACATGGTAGAATTGCATCTTGTGTTTGGTTCTGCAGACAATGTGAGAGCTGGAGAAAGGGAGAACCACCAAAAGGCAGTTTGAATGGTCCAGGGATACTTACGGTTCTTGTGTTTGGAGATTTTTTGTCTTCTAAACAGATGCATGTACAGATACAGATATACAGATGTAGATTTATTAATATTATGAAAATGCTCAAAGTCCATCTTCTGTAGTGCTGGACTTCTAAAATGAGCAGGGGAGTGTCCTTCACTGCAGGCTCAGGATAGAATGCAGTTGTTGCATCCCCTTCTAATTAGTACAGTAGGTCCAAATCAGCAGAGGAACTGCAAAATGACTAAAGCAGCATTGATGTAAATGCCTCACCAGCCATTCCCAAATTAAATCTCTTTTCATGTAAATTAAGTCTCTTTTCATGTCTTAGGGAGCACTGACTTGCTTAAGATCCAGCTTTTGGCAGTAATGGATATTTGCAAATCTCCAAGTTGTTGATGGGCTTATCTTTACGCTGTCAGATGTAAACCTTTGCCCAGGAGTAATGTTGCTGGAGTACACTGGGAACAGCTGATTTTTATAAATCCATCTTTTGTATACAGAATTTTTACTTACAGCAATGTAGATTCTGTACTTCAGCAAAAAATATCCTCTGAGTAAGAGCTGTAGAATGAACTAGACATGCCAAAAAGACATGACATTCACAGTATGACAGATCTTGTATTATATAGCCACTGAGGATAATATAACAAGTAAAACACTAAATACAGCTGTCACCATTTTTCGCTAATAAATACAGACATTTACTGAATCCAATGAACCTTTGTACATGAAAAATATTTACTTTTTTTCTGAAATGTAGAATTCTAAAACTTGTATGCCAACTTTTGAGATAGTGAAAGAAGGAACAGCAACTGAAAAACAATATTTATAATAGGCCACATGTTCTTTATTCACAGGAACACAGTGTTCCAAGGTTCAGACCAAATGTTTCATAGATTTGCTAATAGCTATGCTCATATTCTCAATTTTCATGCATGACTACAGCTATGACCTGAATTTTTAGAGCATGATGCTCTTCGGTTCAATTTGAGAAAAACAAAAGTAATTCTAATATTACTTCATAGTGATACATATATCTGTGAATCAAGATGAAAAAAAAGACTTACTTCTCAATAACATGCTAATGCAAAGCAGTATCCCTTATGTATGTTTTTCCTCAGCAATATTTATATGAACTTTAGAATGAAGTCAAACATGGTCTAACATTTTAATTTACTCATGTTGGTTCCCCACACAGTTGTGATGTGGTGTCATGTAGAGTTCATCTTAGAATGAATTTTAAGGGTCTCAGTCATCGTTATACTTGCCCTTGTGATATGTTAAATGTATGAACGTGGTCTTTATTTGATGGAGTGAGTAGATTTTACTGCTGCCTGGTAGTCCACATTTTTATCATCTCTCAATGCCATGCTTATCTGTTTTTCCTCCTTTTGGTGCTTTGTATAATTCTTTACAGCACCTCTTTGTCCACAGGGGAACTATTTTGCTATATTTTACATGTGTTCATACCTATAAAGTTCTTGCTTTTATTAGAAGGGGGAAAAATTTACAGCAATGTACTTGGACAGTAGGTGAATCACTCTGTGACCTACCCGTTGCTCTGTTTTCTCATGAAGTACTTTTTCCATTGAATCACAGAAACAGATGTTCTAACACCACCATGCAAAATCTTCTTTTATCATCTGTCAGAAAAAGGAAAAGAAGCTGTGCCTTAACAGCAGTTGATGGGTACTGTACTGATGTAGTACAAAGTTCACTTTCCATCACAAATAATTAAAAACCTATTTAAGGATGCTGCGTATCCCATCGATCTTGGCTGTTTAACAAGATGTTCTGTCCTGTTCTCTCATTTTATAGCTCCGAGTTCTCCTCCAGAATCCCTCTCTGTAAAACAGTTGTCGGGTGTCACTGTGAAGTTGTCATGGAAACCTCCACTGGAGCCAAATGGAATTATCCTCTATTACACAGTTTATGTCTGGTAAGAATTTCTGGAAGTAGTTCTGAGGATAAATATTAATCTGTAGCCTATCAGGAATGTTAGGTTTTTCTTACACAATGTGGGTTTTTTTTGAGAACTCTTAGAATACTAGCCCTTTGTATCTTCAAATGCAGATATAATGTAATAGCTGAAAATTGAGGTATTAAATATTCTGTAAGCATTTTCAACATTTTGCTTAAGGTTCTGTTAGGGTAAATGAATTCAAGCTTAAATTAGAGCATGGTGACTATTTTAATTAGATTCTGATTATGCCTGTTGTAAGGCAGGGCACAAGCCTATGTTAAATTGTTAAGGACATTTGAAATGGGCATAAAATAGAGAAATATTTCTTCCTTTTGTAGAAACTGTGCAAGACTAATATTAAGAGTCTTTGAATGTGCCATCAGCTATGTCTACTGTTAGAATTTATGTTTGTTATGTTCATAGGAGAGGAGTATTTTTTAAACAGGTATCTTTCATTTACTGCCTTGTGTTTGTTTTTTTTTTCCATCTA